GACTTGCTCAGGGGCAAATCTTGTATCAGTCTGGGGAGTTCATCCGAAGAACAGCCAGACGCAGCCGCTAAGAAGCTGGAGGTGGAACTGCCAAGGTCTCAGATCTAGCAGCCTCAAGCTGTCATGTGCATGAGCATGGTCATGAGCATGGCCATGAGCATGGTCATGCGCATGTTCATGAGCATGTTCACGCGCATCCAGTTAGTTATACATGGATGGGTTGGGTGGGTGGGGTCACGTTTCAGCTTTTTGTATCACATTGGGCTCATGTCTGAGGCTGGGTGTGGGACTGGATGGCCAGGGGCGCGGGCATGCTGCGTCACAAACGCCCTCAGCAGCAACACCACCGTCACCTCCTGGAACTGTGCACTACGAACCGCCTGTGGAGCCCGAAAAGCCTGCAGAGCCGACCACTTGCACTTCTTCCACGCACCGCAAGGAGTGGGCTGTGCTCTCTCGTCTGCCAGGAGGTAAGAAAGAAAGTGAGTTCCCAGAGATTGCCAGGGTATTTGCTTCCAGCAATCACAGCGAGAAGCTTAGCATCTTGAAGATGTTCGTGGAGTCTGGGGGAGACCTTCAGAAGTGCGAGTCTTCATGGACCTTCTCACGGAAACAACGTGAGAAGACAAACAAGAATCGTCAATGCCTGACGATTGCTGAGATGATCAAGGCTGGTTGCTCAAAGAGCTTTGCATGATTTATGCAGTCTTTTGTTTTTTCTCCTGTAGCGCACAAGCCATAGATAGTGCGCGCCGGCTGTATAGGTTGGTTACGTGAAATATATTGGCCCTGCAATCTCTGCGCTGCCAAGGGCCAAGATCCTGTCGTGCATCCAAAAGGGGGGAACCCCTGATGAAGATGCGCCAACAGATCCAGCATCTACCCGATATTGGTGCACGCTCGTGACTTCTCAAGACCTGTCCGACGAGCATGTGACGCAAACCAAGGTCGAAGGCGTCGCAAACCCACTACAGGCAGTTGCGGCAATGCGGGTAGGTCAAGCTGGCTTACTTGGCAGGGCCGCGGCGCCTCCGCCCCCAGACCCCATGGCCATGATCAATGAGCAAATGTCAAGCGCCGCATCATCTGCTGGACAGCTGGCGTCTGGGATGAGCTTGCCAGCTTCAGCGCCCAAAGGACCGACTCATGTAGCGAAATAGCTGAGTTTTTGTGGATTCAAGGGTTTTCACGCCGATTCACGGGGTTTCTTGCCGAAATCATGGTTTTTCACGGGCCTTACCAGGACAAGCCAAGACTAAAGCTTCTGCCAAAGCAAAGGGTGCAAACCAAAAGCCATCGCCTCTCTCGAGCATGGCATTGGCGTCAAAGACTGTGCCAGAGAAGGTCGCCTTGATCCGCGCAGGGCTTGGGATTGATGTTTTCCATTTTTTGTGCGTGGTTGATTTTTGGTGTTTCAGGTGGTGAGATCAAGAAGGAGTTGAATCTCATCAATGGGCTCCAGCTGGAGCTGGGTGACAATGAGCGCTTCAAAGATGGTTGTTCAGCCATGTCTACATTTTCCGGGACTTTGCAAAGTCATTTCAAGAGGCTTGACTTGGCCCAGTGAGCTCAGTTAGGTCCTATTTGCTGCTGCAGGCTTGACACATGCACCGATGAGTCCACCTTGACGAGCTTGCTCAAGGATGTCCAGAGCGTTGCGCGGGACTTATGAGACAAGCGTATGCTGTAGAATAGAAACAGGTTCTCATTCTGTAAGGTTTCGGACTGCCGCATGAAGCGGGCTGAGCTTTGCGCTGTCTTGAAAGAGCTTCGCAAGTACATCTGCCTTGTTTCTCTTCTCTGCTTCCAAAAACTCCCCCTCCGTCTCTAGGAGTTTGTACTGCTTTTCATGGTGGTTCTGCACGCTATACCCCAAAATAGGTTTCCTTCAGCAGCTTTCTGCAGACTGTCGCCGCTGTCATGATTCCGCAGATGTGCACAAACATTTATTGAAACATCTTCAAGCGCTTGGACGCTTCACTTTTCCGTTGAGCCATTCCTTTCCTCCGGGATTCTGGTTAACTGAAAACCCAATGACTAAGCGTGTGCTTGTGTATGTGCGTCCACAAAATGGATTTGCAGTTGTATCACCAAACCCTGGTCATGGAAAATAAACATTGCCGTCTGTTGGGCATGGATCAAGGCAGGCCCAACAAAGCTGCAGCTTGTTGGAGGTTCCTTTCCCTTGATCCTGCAATACCTTCATCCAGTCTTCCACACGCTGCGCATCTTTTCTGAAAGTCTCCGTGTCGGAGGGGCTCATTGGACCACATGCCCTGCAGCAAGTTGCTGAACTCTTTGGCAATTTGGCCCTGCGTGGGCTTGATCTCATCCAAGAAGCTGGGCCGCTCCCCTGGACGGTCGAGGGCATGAGGGCAGCAAGGGTTCGGAGCGAGGGGTTCATCCATGAGGTCAAACATGGGGGGGAGGGGCAATCTTGGCACTTGTGGCGGTACCTTTTGTTTGAAACCCGAGATGGTTCCCGTCCACTGCCACCCAGCCTGAACTGCCGGCGAAAAATGTCCTCAACTCAATGGAGTTGGAAAGGCATTGCCTGGGCTGACGCAAGAACGCCCCACGTGCCACGCGATGTATGTATATATATATACACTACATACAGTATATATCCCTAACGATAAGATTGATCTACAACTTGGACGATACATTGATTGTATAAATTAAAGTTATGGTTGATCGCGTATCGTGCAATACTACTAACACGTCTATACTGTTTTGAGTCGTGTAAATACGATAGTGTGTTTTCTTTGATTCGTGTATTATTACATATTGACGTTTTCTAGTGTTAGAATATATTATCAGCTCTGTCCCCCTGGGCCGCGCTAGCAATCCACTTTGGGCTCAGATGCACAGCGGAGTTCATGTAGCAGGTGTTCCCCATGTTCTGCAGTCCACAGGCACCGGGTTGTCGAGAACGATCCTGCGTGCGTCGAACTCTTCCAACTCTTCTCCTGCCTCGAACTGCTTCCCCATACGCTTTCCTGCGGGCGAAAGGCGGTGCGACGGAAATGGATCCACTCCACAGTTCCATCCGTTGGACATGGAAAACACCACCTTCTTCTCCGCAATAGCCCGCTCCGGCACACAAGTGGAGGCATCCCTCCTTGCGATTGAAAAACGAGGACAGGATTGCCAAAGCTTCCGGGTGCGAGCTTCCAACCGATTTCACTCGTACTAAGGCACTTCCGTCTGCTCCCAATTCTATTCCGGTGACCAGGAAGACGGCTTCCACTCCTTCTTCTCCCAACAGTTCGCCTGGAACCATTGTAGTTATAATGTCTCCCAACTTTGTCTCCAAGGTGGACCATCGGGCGGGCTCGTTCACATCGAACAGCCCATAGGCGCCTCCAGCGCCCACCAACTCCACCTCGCCCTCGCCTTCCGTCATTTCTTAGGCTGAGGGGGGACGCCGGCAATTGCCGACGACCTGGGGGCGTGTGGATCGAAGTCGAAGTGACTCTCGTCCAACTTTCTGTGAATCTTGATGTACGGGTCTCGCTCGGCCCTGTAGAGACGCTTGTGCTTGCGCCCTGCCCTGTGTTTAGGGTTCCTGTTCTTTCGCTTCTTACTGGACTTGTCGTCCTTCCGATCAGGCCTTGATGGCTGACTCGAGCGCCGTCGATGACTGTGGCGATGACGGCGGCGTGAGGTTCCCAGCCCGGTGCTGTCACCAGCTGGTTCTTCTTCTCCGTGATCGGCCTTCTCCTCAGTCTTGACCTTCTCTGCAACTCCTCGAGGGGGAACAGGGGGTTTAGCCTTCCCTGAGAGTCCTGGCGCCGAAGTCGCTGGCGGCAGCGACGGGTCGACAAGTATGGTCTTGTCTGAGGCAGCTTCTGACTCCTCTTTTTCTTCCTCCGACTCTGAAGAGTCCTTGTCTTTCTCCTCGTCCTTCTCAGGAGGCTGCTGCGATGCCCCCCTCTTCTCCTCAACCTTCTTGGGCGACCTCCTCAAAGGGGATCGCGCTCTAGGCGGCCCGGGGTTCCCCCCAGCCGGCGCTGGAACTGGCGGGGCGCGCACGGGAAAACGAGTCCCAGCGGCCTCCCCCAGAAGCGGCGTGCGGTGCAGCCCCAGTCACCAGGGTGATCCGCAGGGCCCGCACCTGGCGCACTGCCGAGACCACCAGGTCAGTTGCCACCGTCCGCAGGCCCGGGTGGCTCCACGAGAACGAAAGTTCGTTCCCAATCGCCTCCCAGGCACTGCACGCGAGGCACCAAGTGTCACCTGCAGTAGGTGACACTCGCCGGCACCGCGCGCACACGGCCATACAGCCGTGAAAGACCCCTTTTTTGAGCCCGTGGCCAAACGGTATTCGTGCAATACATCTCATGTTCCAAAGATATCATACATAATACAAGAAACAAATAGCAAAACATGTCGCAAAAACTGCAATTGCCCTGCTGTACACAGTAGGTGTACAGTGAGGCTGTGGCCAAAAAAACTACATGGACTGCACACCCTTTTTTTGGCAAAGCTCGAAGTTTCAATCCAATCATCTCCACACAAGGCCGGTCTTGAGTCTGTCTAGGCGAAGGTTTTTCTGGAGCCTTCAACTCACAGTTGTTGGAGGTCAACCTCCCAACCGATCTCACCTGTTGTGCTTTTAAACATATCATGTCTCCCCTGGGGCTCCTGGCCCACCTCCTGAGAAGGTGGTTGGGGTGGGTTTGGGCTTCTAAGGATATGGTTGGAGCCCTAGGGATCATCAATCAAAATGTCATTAAGGTTTCTGTGGGTCAAGAATACCCCCTCCAATCGCTCCAATCCACCCCAGAGTTCACACCCCGATGTTCGAAGCGTGACGAGATGTGACGAGCCAACACCTGGGACCCAGGGAGGAACTGAGAATATAATAGTATAGAATTGTGGTTTAATACAAGAAAAAATAGCAAACTATGTCGCTAAAATGGATGACATCTACAAAATGGAGGAACTTCTGTTGGGTCGACCGGCTCGTGGATTCCCAGGCCCCCAGGCCCAGTCACCTGGGCAGCTCGTCGACCGACTCGGGCGCGCTCAGCCCTTCGGGCCCTTCGGTGGACTCTGCAGCGAAGCGAAGAAGATGCTCCAGTAGCTCTGGTGTCTTCCAACCTGCCATCATCCAGTTGAAACATCGCACGAAGTGGAAGTCCACGTTCTGCTGTGAGTTCAACCTCATGACGTTCTGCTTACAAAGGAGGCTAGCACTTAACGGATCGATTCTTTGGGCAGTGGCATCGGAATCCAAGAAGATCATGTCAACACCTATGGAGCAGAACGAGGATTTCAAGCAACACGAATCCCTTTACCCTTCCCCCCATGGATTCACACACATCATCAATACAGTTGACTGATAGCGAAGAAATGGCCCGAACTGATGATCTGATTCGAACAAAGGCAAAATAGCAAAAGAACTGTTGAGATCTTGTGAGGCACCACTGGTCTTCATTCACATCTCTGTAGTTGCTCACCACTCGCAGCTGCCAACGTTCTGTCGTCTCGCCCTGCTTCTCCATGAGCTGCATGGCCAAACCCTTGAAGAAGGATCCTTTCAAGGGCACCAAGCTGGGCACCTCCACCGCTCCTCCTAAACCTTCGACCAGGTCAATCAACTTCTCGAATCCTGGCGCCGCACAGTGCGGCACTTCGCGCGGTGCGTCCGCGGTGAGCCAGGCGAAGGAGGTGCACTTCCGTTCCTTCACAAAGTCCTCGAGGATCCAACTGAGGCTTTGCACCTTCAGCGCTGTGGGTGACACCACAACGACCCAAAAACTGCTCTGTCCCACATAGATTCGCATCTGTTCCTGGATCGCCTCCAGCTCCTCAGGCACCATGCCTCAAGGGAAGACAAGATCATCGGATCTTCGGAATCGGCCGCAGGCGTCCAAAAACGCCGCTCGTTTCTGGGGGGAGAAGGGTGGTGGAAAGAACTGATGTAACTTATGAGTTCCCACAGGTTCAGGGGTTTGCACCCAGATTGTGCCTTTATACATTTCATGGTGTCCCAAACAACTGAGACGTTCTGACTGTGCTAATTGAAGACTTCTTTCTACCCATGGACGTGTTTTTCCGTGCAGAAACTGGCACGACCGACCTGGGGAGACTGGAATCAGTTTCCATATCTTGTGGCACTGTCCATCTCTAAGTGAAGCACAAGCGAAAGACTGCAGATCTATGCACATCTCATGCATTTGGAGGCTTCCTCTCAAGAACCTTAACAGCCTTAGAATAGAGGTGACTATGACTCACCAAAGCAGGATAGGCCGAGAAACATAGCTTGTCACAGTGCTTCCGCAGCATCTTCTCCACTTGCTCAGCATCTTCTAAAGTCACCTCTGTCCCTCCTTGGTATCACACAAAAAATATGCCTCACGTAGCGTGGTGTGGCCTTTTTGGAGGGAAAGTGAAGCATGGTGGCCCTACTCTCCCAAATTGCTCAGTCTGAGACCCACCAAAGACCAGGAGCCAAGGCACCTGAGCTGGCAAAGAAGTATGTGTGCTTGTTCTGCTGCAAAGACTCCTCCAACTCATACTTCTTGACCGTAAAGTAGCCGCCCAGCATCCGCCTTGGTGACCAAAAGAAGAATCATGGCAAGGCATCCACGACAAACAGCTGCAAGGGCATCACGCTGGGCTTGGTCACACTACCCTTGAACAGACTAAACCCAAAAAGTATGGGAGCATCGGAGAGTCAAAAGGTCATCTCTGAAACAAGGAAGGCTGCAACATGTCCAAGAATATCTCGGAGGGAAAAGCCTCACGCTCCTCCTCACCAAAGAGCTCCTTGCGTGCAGAATGTCCCTCCCCTGGTCGAAGGATTGTAATTGTGGTGGGGGCATGGTGTCTAGAATCTGATGACGGATCAGTGATTTACGGGGACCTCCCTGCAACGAATGCCATTTTTCAGAGTGACATTGGGTACGTTGGGATTGCTCGAGAAGCGTGAAACAACTAGAATGGGGATCCTGCAGAACAACCCCGAAAATACTCGACCACGCAATTCTACTTCCAAAGCCCAAACCCCTTCCACCAATTTGCTTTTGAAGGTTACACTCTCTGGAACTAACATGGAAGTGAAGTTCACCCCCTGTTTGTAGAGGAAAATTATCTTCCAAGTGGCCATTTTTTCCACATCCATGTGAGGTCCAGGGAGAGTAAGGCTTTTGTGCGCAAATTTATAGTCTATGCTACCAAGAATGCTGGCTCTGCCTGCCCTCTAGCCCGTGCCACATCCAGTCTACGAGTCTACAGTCTGTCCCACGCAGGGTGCTTTGTGGTGCCACCTCTGGCAAGATACGAGCCTTTGCTCAAATTCGACAATGTAGATGCTTGATTAGTCCACCCCCCCAATTGAATTGGAAAGCCATTTCATATGGGAGGTTTATTCATCAAGAGTCTACATTATATACATCATCCATTACACACCCTACTGGGCTTTTTGGAGTATCACCCAAAGACCGGGCCTCCTTGCTCTGCGCCATTGACAAAGCGCGGCTGATGGCGGCGACAACATCGTCTGGCAGATTCAGCACCACCCGTTGGTCTTGACTCAACTCATACTCCTCGTCGCTCATGTCCTCTTCATCGGGCTCCCAGTCTGATGGGCGACTGGGATATCCCCCGGCGCTTGAGGACGCAGCTTGATGCTCTGCCAAGACGTCCTTGACTTCCTCCAGGCTACGACAGCTGAGCAGCCAAACTTGATCTTTCAACCGTCGAAAGTCGCGAGCACAGTGTTTCAAGCTCTGAATGATGTCCCAAGCCAACAATCTGACATCTTCGTAAAAAGAATAGTCATCTAACTCTTCAGCGCACTCAGAGAACCCAAAAGTTTCGTCGTCAGCTAGCTGGTGCAAGTGAACTGCCACGAGCTTCAAGGGCTTCAGAGCTTCAAGCTTGTCCGGTGTATAAGCAAGCATCTGTGTTTGAACAACTGGTGGTCTGATCCCAATCAGGATACTCCGAGGCTCACCAACCATCTGCGGGGGACTCACTTCTCCAAAGGTCATCAACTCGGAGTCAGTGGTCAAGAACTCGTGGAGGGTTGCCAATAACGGTGCTGGGCAGCGCTCCAGGTTGTAGCAAAAGCACTTGGCAAAGATAGACGTGTCCCACATCAATTGCCCAAAGGCGCAGGAGTACAAGAAAGCGAATCTTTTCAGTCCCTGATTTGACACCATTTGCCAGTTGTTGTCATATTCAGGGACATCAAACACTATCTTGCAGTGGTGACCTTCCTTCGACCACCCTCTTTCAAGCTCTGCTTTCCTCCCACGGCAGGCTGCAACCACACACCAAACTCGAAGCTCCTGTCTCGCCAAAATACCAAACAAGGTATCTTCTAGCCACACGCAGCTGGTCTTGCAAACCACCTCGCCGTTGTCATCCAGGAGTTCCTCCTCATTCCTTGGTTCAGCTTCTTTCTGAAGGTGCAAATCCCACCCTCAAAGTCCAACCCCGTCGTGGCTGATCATGGGACCCCCCTCCTTCAGCTTGCCCCGAGCATCCAACCAATGGCCTCACTGCCGATAAGAGTCCCAACCAGCAAGGTCCCTTTGACACCTTGACCCCGAGAACCCATCTCACGACCAAAGGCATGGCCGGAGTACCAAACGAAGAGCTGTCCATCTTTGGGCACCTGCTGCAGCGAGCTGTCCGAGCAACGGTGAGTGAGAACATCACGAGGGGGGGTTCACACCACGCCGCTGGGTTGCGATGGTTCATGAGAATCAAGAGTGATCTACCCAAAGAACTAATCAAAAACCTTATATGTTTGAACCCATCAAATACATGCAAACATCTGTATTTCTAATATATGTCTATCCATGGAACATCTATCCATGATCTATCGGATCATGGCAATCAAAAATCCGATGTTCCATGATGTTCCTATGGTACTCAAAGATCTCAGGCAATGGAATAGCAGCTCATGGAGTGTCAGCAGGTCAGCGGGGTGTCAGCTTCAAGGGGAATCAGTGCGGGTCATTGAGAAACTACGGCCGAGCTCAGCCTTAGACGCTGCAACTCTTCACTTGCTCAGTGTGGGTCAATGAACATTCCTCTTCACGATGGAGGTTTTAGGTCTTCGACGCTGCGTTCAGAAGCTGCAACAAATCAACCTCAATGTCCCAGAAATTCACGAAAAAGATCCACACCATCGGTCGCCCTGGCAGGGGCCTTTTTCGCTACATCTTCCAGCGTTTCCTTGATCACATCACCTGGCAGGGGCGCCAGGTCAGCAGGGGGCTCCCCAGAGGTTTTACAATTCTCTGCTCAGAGCTGAGTGGCAGTGGGTCACCGGTTCACCAGAAACCCAGACCTCTTTAGAGAAACCGGACAGGCCATGGGCCATCACGCAACGTTTAACGCATTAGGGCCATGGGCCAGGGGCCATAACAAGCCCATACTACAGGCGCGCAAAGGCCACCTCACGCAGTGTTCCCTGTCAGGTTCTGGTCCTGACCAGCGAATGGGAAGGTTCCTGTGATCCACGCGCGTCCTCGGGGGGGGGGGACCTGGTAGATGTGGTGGATGGACCACGTTGAGTCCGGTTCTAAGGAACTTAGATCCCAGAGAGTTTCGGTGTTGTCCAGAGGTATCTCATGATTCTCCGCATCTGAAGGATCGGCCTCCCCCCCGGTTTTGGTCCGAAACCCTCAATTGCTGAGGTTTAACAGTAGAGGTTTGGGGAACGCTGATGGTTCTCGTAGAGAAATTCAGCGGTTTCTTCAGAAGTCTGCGTCTGTGGATCGCATCAGACGGGTGGCCATCGCATTCGTACAACCCTGAGGAATTCGAGATGATGGCCTGATGGCCACCAACATGCGCAGGCGGTCAGAACCATAAACATCTTATACTGGACAATTCTATTCTGAAGGCCGGAGCCTGGAGTGCTTGACACACCTAAGTGAGCCGAACATCCCTTTGTTGGCGAATCAAGGAGGAGCTGATCTAGGTGACAAGCAGTGCAAGGTCCTTCCCTGCGGGATGGTCCTCCCTCTCAAAAATATGCTAGAAGAAGATCTGCAGGAATAAAGTGCAGGGACACGAGGTCGACAAAGTTTCTGAGTGGAGACGTGTTTCGCTTCGTCTACAAATAGGACAGGGCGCTTCCCAGAACAATGTCGCTTTTTTTCAGGACCAAGATCCCTCGTATGTTCAGAATCTAGAAGCCTGCTAGTGTAGACGACCATAAACCCCCCATATGAATTATTGAATTCGGATGTCCTATTCAAATGGGGAGTATGATTAATCAAACGTCTACATTAAGCATGAGCGCTTCCAGAATGTGCCTTCCATCCCTTCACTCCGCCCTCTCGCCCTCTCGCCGCCGATTGCCTGGTTGGTCGTGGATGGGCCACAGCTGCTCTGCAGTGCAAAAGCCGCAGCGCAGCAGGGCCCGCTCCACCAGCTTAGCATCCTCTACTGCATGTTTCAGGTCGTGGCGGTTGTTGGCAATGAGCACCGCATACCTCAGTGGTGGTGTTGTGACCTTTTTCGTTCATCGCACCGCAACAAGACCAACCGGATAAAACCAAACATTCAAACACCTGATACAGTTCCACATGAAAATGGCTTGGGTTGGTGGGAGCGGAGGTCTTTTGGTCTATGAATGTCTATGACATCCACATCTACATCCAAAGGATCATTCAGAGCTGAGACAAGCATGGTGGTCACCAGCGTTCTTCTTTGTGTGAACACGGTGTTTGGGCCCAAACCATCCAGACCTTCTTTGTCCAAACGCGTGACAGGGGGATGAACAGTTCGCTCCCCAGTTCCTGGGACCCTGCTGCAGGGGAAGAACCGCTTCGCACGGGAGGACAAACAGTTCGCTTCGAACGCGCGCGCAGCGTCCGCAAAGGATCGAAGCAGTTCGCACTTCGGTTCCACACCTTTGCGGCCTAGATGCCAAGAGGACATGGTCAGACCAAGGTGATGTTCGTTGTGCCATGTTGCGCCATGCTCAAGGGGTTGTGATCAAGACCAACGTACTGGTCGTCATTTTTAGACGACTCCGTGTGGATACTCCTTTGTTTGGATTTGTCCAACGGCGGCAGAAACGCATAATTACGTCACCCTCTCACCCCGGTCGTCTGCGGAAACTTCTGGGCACAAGACTTCGCCAATCTCACAAACTTGGCTCAAACATCTTTGCCACTGTCGTGAATCAATCAGAAACAGCCGTCCGAGGCTGACGTTGGTGGACCGTGAAATAGCGCTTCCGACTTTGAACGAGCAAGGTGAAGGCTTCTGGGTTCAAAAAAAACACAGGGACCCGCGACCCTCCCACATGGCTGATACTGCATCAACAACCTCTAAATACCTCTAATAGTCTAATTGTTTAGGCAGTAAACATATACTACTGTCTGTGGCCTTGATGAATCAATATTTGGATCTCAAAGCATGTCAAACCTGTATTTGGAGGCCACAAACATTGTTTCCTACAAGTGGAAAAGAAACCAAACTTAGCTGGTGAATTCAGGTCAAAGGTCTTCTTTGCTTGCTTTGAGAAAAGAAGGATTCTCAACCCCTCAGCCTCCTTAATTAACTCTCCACAGAACCCCCCAACATCCAGTGCTCACTTTTTCACAGCTTCAAGTCAAGGCCTCGCATCTTTCAAGGAGCGACCCCAGCTCCGTCAGATGTGGAGACGAGTTCCCGATTTCCTGTGCATGTGTCGGTCAGCAAAAGATCCAGACTAAGTTTTACTTGTGAACAGTGAGGAAATCGAGATACAACCCCAAACCCGCGGCAGGTGTTTCGAGCTCTATGTCATGTTCTTCGCCCATGAATGCCCATGATTCTGAGGCTATGAATGGCCCGATCTCACAACCTCCATCCATCTCACAACCACACGTCAAGAGTTCAAGAAACATCACATGATTTTACAATCAGAAAGAAACACTTCCAAATAGTTGGAGGTGGGATTCCTGAACCTTCACTTTGTTCCCCGCTCCTCCAAGCCACCTCTGATTGAAAAGGAAACAACTCTTTTAACCACCCATGCCATCCGCCTTTTGCATCGGAGCAAGTTCGCAAGTTCCACCAATCGAAAATTCGAAACAGTGTTTTCTGTTGTTTGTGTTTACCGCCAGAAACACATGGAATCTCTTGAGAATGGGACCTCCTTCCACGCGCAAGTTGCACAGGTGTTGCTTCTGCTTCATGATGCCCAACTGTTCCTCGAAGGCCCTGGTGGAGCGGTGCACCGGAGCGGTGCGTCATCTGTAAGGAACATGGTTAGCTTCTCTTTAGGTACAAGCATGCTCCTACTACTAGGAGCTAAGGATATTGATACATGGTTAGCCTCTCCTTTGAGGTCATTAAGTTCAACTACTAGGTACTAAATGTACTAAGGATTTGAACACTTAGGAGGTGCGGCTGGTCAGACCTGCGGCCTAGTACCTGGCTGGCTCATGATCCGCACCAACCGTTGGTGAGAATGTGTCAAATTAATTGATTCTGGTCATTGCAGAACAATGTCCCTTGTAGATCCCCTTCTGGGCGGAGGGGGTAAGGGAGGGGCTTGATCATGCTTTGAAATTAGATAGTCATGGACAGGGTTGGGATGTGATACCAGTGACGTGACGTATATGTGTGAGTTCATTGAATCAACGGATCATGTTCAAATACGATCCAATTCAAACCAGGACCTTTACCCTGATGAAGTCATGTCGTGATGTCATTCCTAGATCAAAAAACGACACAGGGGTCGTCCGTCGTGCATTCATGGTTTATAGGGATCTTCTCACATGGCTTCACCAGCATTACTAGTTACATATGTCCTGCTCTGTCCGAACCAATTTGCATCCGTGGTGATCAGTGAGTCCCCCCAAAAACCTGCATCCCCTAGTAGATCACGAGACATGTTCTGCCTTCTGCCTGCTTCTCTTGGACCCCTGATTCGTCATCCGGATTGTGATATGAGCTCATACGAGTCAGGAGTCAGAGGCGTCATGGAGGGTAGTCGACTCTTCGAACTCGGCTTCGTCCGTCGCCACCTCCGGTTCGCGGGCGCTTCGGGGGTCACCACCGGTCGCCGGGGGTTCCCCGGTGTCACGCGCTTCGTGCTGCGTTTGAGCCAGGTAAGCTGCCGAGCCAGGCCACCGATGTGCCACAAGTGACGTGTTCATGGAGGTTAGGCAGACGGTTTTGTGTTTTGAAGCGCTATTCGTAGCTTAGCCTCTAAGCTCGGAAATCCAATCTTCTGCAGTGGAGTTTTCAGGTTCTCACTCCGCTATGCAATTACTTACGATGGCAAGATTGCGCCACCAGTTTGTACAAATGAGAAGGGGATACTTCAATCTCAGGAGGAACTCCAATTCGACGGGGCCATGATCCCAGGCGGCGTTCGCCTTTTCAAAACTAACTGTAACAAATGCACAACGGCGACTGGTGTTCAGCCGCCAGTGAGCGGCGACCCCAAACAGGTCGATTCTACGACGTTGGCGCGTCAGGCGAGGAAGGCTGCCCACTTGATCTTTGGGTGGGACTATGCCTGACCTGGGATTCAATGTGTATCGCACGGTGCGTTCTGTGTATCGCACGGTGCGTTCTGCCACTCAATGTCGCACGGGGCGTAGTCCGCCCCCTGACCTCGAAACGTGCAGGAAACCGCGGTGGGGGAAACCGCGGTGGTCTGAGGAGGTGGAACTGATCATGTTTGCAGGTCTGGTCTACCCTTTCTCGAAAGGATGCATAGGATGAATACCATGATCTCTCCATCTGTCAGGGCAAAAGGATGCAAAAGGTGATGTTCTTCTAAGAAATGATATTGACTGTTGATTAGTTAGCCATCCCTGATGAATGTTTGCACACTGTTGACTGAGGGGGAGGAGGAACACCAATCAAGAGTCCTACATGCCTGGTTTCTTTGTTCTTTAAGCAACTATACGTTATTTTTCTTGTTGATTGGCTTGCATCCAAGAAGGCCCCAGCAAAGGCGAGAGCAACCAAGTGACTACTAGTGTGTTCTTCACGAAGATGTGGGGACATCGGTTTTATAAGGCGAAGGCGCGCAAAACCACAAAATTGGAAACACTTGGAAACCCTAAAGCCTACGTGCACCAGGTCTTTCCACGGCTGAAAGTTCTTGAACCAGGTGAGGATTAGAACTCAAAACGCATCTTTGCCGCCCAAATCATCTCCACGGTTTGCGTGTTCTCCGCCGGCTTTGGACTATCTCGGTGCCCCCGGCAGGCGGTTCAAAGGCGGTTCGGTCGCGACTTGGTACACGGGGAGGTCCTAACAGTGAGCTATCTGCTTCATTCTGCCCGGCTGCAGCCACTCCAGAAGATCAGCGATTGGGTTCAATGTTGCTTTTGGCTCACGTCCAATCTGATCCACTAACGGACCAACCCAACGAAGGATCGCCTTTCTCAGTATCGTCGCCCTTTCTCAAAAAGAGAAGATCTTGGAAACCAGATTCTCAACTTGGCTTTCAATCTGATCTCCATTGAAAACCAGATTCTCCATTGAAATTTGATCTTCTCATCTTGGTACATCTTGTTCCTTGAGAAGATCCGATTTCAATGGCCCTGCTGGGCCCTGCTGGTCCCAGCTCACTCCACCTCTACAAACAACAACTTCGATTCAAACAGCTCGTCCAACAGCGCCGGCAATTCGGCTTCATCCGGTCAAATGGAATCCGGTGGCCAAAAACTTTGCGTGCGCCACAACCTGACAGGCTTTTTGGAATTCCATTCGGGATGCCTCACAATTCATACAAAGCTCTCAGCCTCTTGCGGAAAACATCGAAGAAAACTCCTTCCACTCCATGAACGCACCAAGGCAGCTGCGCCCGGTCCATTGGGGAACCCTGCGTGGGTGGTGCGGGCTGCCTGAGCCATCATTCTGACTCGACCAGTGGAACAGCTTCTGACTCGGGTTCTGTGGCCACTCGGAACCAACGAAACAGTGATTCATCTCATGCGACTTGGAAAAAAAAACACCCAAACAGCAAACCCAAAAAAGAACACCTGACATCCTCCCCACGACCCCGCACCAACCGAGGTGGATGTGGGTCGGGTCCAGCCACCAACCGAGGGTCGTTTTCTGGACCCGGCGGAGCCCGGCAAGCGGCGTGCGAACACGCAGCTTGCTGTCACTAATTATTCCAAAGAAGCAAAACCATGGGACATGTTGAAATTGAAAGGGTTCCTTCAAAACAGTTTGCTGCATCTAAAACGTGGATTTCTTCGCTAGTCCAACATCCACCCGCCCGATGCTGGCGGTGGTCCACCTCTGCCCCCACCACTTGGGTCGCTACACTCTTGCCACCGACTGCACCCAATGTGCTGCCTTGGAAAATGGTGGGAAAACGAAGTCTGCACCGAATCCCAAGGCAGTTGATGTATGTCTGTGGATGTTGCTTGGCTTGGTCGGGTGACAAGTTGAATCCGAAAGACAGTCCCTTGCTGCCATCGAGGTGTGATCTTGAGAAATAAAGAAGAGGGATCATTGCATGCCCATGCATGGCAATCAGTGGTCTTCATATGATTTCTCCAAGTGTCCCTGCCGGACATAATATTATGTATTATACACGAGCAGAACTCTCGAGATGGCAGAGCACAGTATGAACAAAGCCCAACTATACATAATTCTCAAAGTGGCACAATGTACACACTGTGGTTTTTGTGCCTTGCACATTCCCAGCACGGAGATCGCGGAGGAATTCCTGCTCTGGGGCCCCCAGGCCTCGAACTGCTCAGGTGTCTGCAGACAAAGAGAGGTTGCCATCGTGGGAACAAAGCTGCATGGGAGGGATAATTTACGCGACGGACACGCCGTTGAAGAACATGGAAGATTGGCTCAGACTGTAAGACATGTTTTCATGAAACGCATAGCATTCTTTGTCATGACATACAAAACTTACTAATGATCAGGACCGATGAAAGGACGGTGCCCTAAAAGTACCATATCACCCCCGGAAGATCAGTTGCCCAAGCCACCTGTTTTGGTGCAACAAATGCCATTGTTTCTACTTCCTTTTTCCTCCTTTCGTTCTAGGTCAAACACACTCAGATGCCACA